TCACTCAATCAAATAATACAAAACGGCTGAGACTTATTCTCTGCGAAATAGAAGAAAATGTGGCGAAATGAATCAAACAAAATTGAGCGCTCACCATACACGACACAAAAATCGCCCCTAATTCTATAAAATTCATGAGAAAATCGAATTCTGTTGCGATCAGTTACAACACCCATTTCAGGCACAACGGCTTCGAATTACTGAATACTTGAAAAGTACTGACAACATGGAGTTGACTCATAAACTGAAGAAACTCGAACTACTCATATTTCATTTTTCATAAGGAAAAAGACGACCGTCAAAAATTTTCCAAGGTTCTAGATAAGATTCGGTAGAAGAACGTGCGTCACTTTTTCCGGAGTAAAGCTTGCTCGGATTCACCAAAAAAAACGCATGTCAAGCTTCTTCCATCACACTTTGACTCTTACCATCCATGTCTGGAACTATGTCACAATTTGCATGAATAAAATGAAATTTTTGAAATTTGATGATATCTAAGGCGATATTTGACTATGTCTGCTAATGAGAGGAGGTTATTCACATTACTGTACTTCCGAAAATAATTATAAAATCGCACCGTTCACTTACGGCATTTGAACGCTTGCTTTTCCACACGATGTCCTAATGGAGTTTCTCTAAATGTATCCTTAATGAAGCCTTTTAATTTTTTGTGGTGACATTTCAAGACGCCAGAAAACAGCCAATTTTACAACTTCCATGCCTCTTGTGACGAGGAATTCTCCCATTGGAAAGAAAAAAACTCAATTTCAGTTGTTGATGGAAACGGCGTTTTCAGAACTTGGTCTGGATCTGGACGTGTCGCATGACCCTGAACAGTTCCGTGGTATTTTTCAGATCCGGAAAGGTCCGATTCAGCTGAATCATGAATTTTGAGTCACGGTGACTCCGGTTACCGACATACTCCTGGTGGATGCTAACCCCGAGTTCGCGTTTGTGACTTGGCTTCGTCAGAGAACAGACGTCACTAAAAGATGTACGGCATAATAATCACATATTTCACGCTGAAATATTAAATCTAATGTTTTTACGGTTCTGTACCACGTGTAATTACGGTGAAGTGAGTGAGGGCGACGACCGTAGAAAAACGCGCGATGTAAGAAGGATTTTCAATGCAAGATTCTCAAAAAAGTCGTCCGAAACAGACGTACAAGAATAATTCAAACCTCTCCTCAACTTTCCCATCATGCATTTCCCTCACATTACGTTACAAGAAATTTTAAATACAATTGTCTTCTAATCAAATTTTTTCATTGACCATCAAAGATGAGACAGATGGCATAAATTACCTTCTGAATTTGATGAAAATCATATCTGCACGTATTTGCAAACGTTAATCCGATTTCGGACACATTTCAGCCGCTTCTCTTTTCAGCCTAAAATGTACATATACACAAATACAGTATACAGTATTACTAAAATAGAGCGTCTATCTTTTGAATACGGCTTGAATTCTAAGAAAAGCTGCATAACATTCCGCATTTTCCGAGTAACAGATATTTATAATGGAATAGTCATGAACGTAAGGGCTCGACAACATATGAATGTAGCACACATTATCGCCGTATATTCATTGAGATAATTCGCACAAAAAAAGGTAAAGCTGAGAAACAAACTTCGGGGTCAGACGAAAGCTCGGCTCAATTTAATTTGGAACAATTTTACTTTGCATCCCTATCTTCCGTGCAATGGCCATTGAAAAAGTGCCCTAAAAATCATATAGAATTCTCCCACAAGCATAAAAACTGGAAAAAATGTGTCCATTTCAGATATACGGATGCTATTTTAAAAGTTTCCAGAATTCTTTTCTTTTCTTTTCTTGGGCAAAAATTTTCAGTTTTCGAGAAAGTTGACATCAAAGAAAATGAAGGGTTGGAACATCGCATCTCATAAGAAACAATGATACGCGGAGCAACAAAAAAGCAACCTATTTGAAACGAATGGCGGCAAAAGTCAGTTACTTTCCCATTACGATTTGAAAACACGGTACTGCAGTCCTGGATTTATCAACAAAACTGGGAGAATCAAATTGAGAAAACCGAAGAATATATTATTTTGCTAATTTTATCAAGAGAATTTTTTATGAAATCGTCATTGCTATCATAACATGAAAAATTGCGATAAAATAGACAAAAGCATCATCAAATTACCTGCAATAAAATGTGATGCAGGCCTAAATTCAGATTTTCAGCATTAATGATCGTCAACATTTTGTTGTTCAACGTTCGGACAAAAGTTATCTGGTCAACTTTGAAATAATTGAAGAAAATTTCAAAATTTGAGTAAAAAAAAAAAAAAGGTGTCCGTTCAAACCGCATCGCTTTCAGCGGAATACGTTTCAAAAATGTGAAAAACAGTCAGGTGATTTCAGAGAACTTTAAACGTCTCTGGAAATACTGCTGATCATACTTTTGTTAACAAACGTATGATCTGGATATAAAATCTGGATTTAAAATTCGAAGCGAACTGGCTGAAATATTTTGAGCATGCTTTGATCGAAAATTTTGTAGATACTCGAACGACTGAGTTTTTTTTTCCTGAGCTCCTGACATCAAATGCCATAACAAAGGACATTTCCAAGAGCTTTCAAAAGAATTACAGGATAATAGCAATAAGGGAATGACGACAGAACATAACTGAAATTACAGTACTATAGTACCATTTCCGCTCAACTTTCGGTGCATCAGATTGACCACAACCAGAAATGCCGCTCTGCGAAAGGTAATTTACTTTCACATGAACGGATACCAAAAACCAAGTATCGGGCGTGAACGAGAGACAACTCCAGTGCCTCGCTTTGGGCAAATCGAACAAACCCACAAAAGAATGCATTATTTTCGTAAGTCTTCGGATTCCTCAATAACGGAAAATAGACGCGAAAAATTTTAGTACGTCTACTTCCGTTGACTTGGCTCAATTATTTTTTTGAATGTCCAGTTTCCCAATCAAGGGGTTCAAAATAATGTTTAGTTTCGAACAAATTTCCTACATAACAGAGAACGCAGCTGTTCTCACTTTTGCAAGTACGGTATCGATTTGTAATGAAGGATAATCGAGAGCATGAAACTCATCGTCCTGCACAAAACCGATTATACATTACGGTAAAAGGTGCTAAGGGAATACAGTAATGCGGTAGCCAGCAGGATTCAGTTCCGACGTTGATAAACGCTTTCTATGCGTCTGATTTTGTTGCACATCGTTTCACCTCTGTGTGTTTTCCACATTGAGCGCTACGTTGAGCACACATTTATTCGAAAAAAATTTCAAGAAAATACAGTATGTACTTATATGCAGGAAGAGCATTCCAGGGGATGTGGTGGAATGGATTAGCTATTCCATCCATATTGGATCACATTACTCATCAGTCTATAATATATAGGGACGTTCTAAGGTCGGGGAACTAATTGGCATTTTACATATAGCATCGCGCGTGGACTTGCTGTTCATATACATTTCGGATAATAGTCTTCCGAAGGAGACAGGTGAAGTCTATTAACCGAGGCAGCACGACTACGTTTCTGATACGAAAAGATTGAACATGATTCTCGTACAAGTTTGAAGGAAGACGACGAATAAGAAAAGCATTCACTTACTTGAATACACGCAAAGAATTATGGATCTGTCCAGCATCAACGCCAATTTCATGGTATTTCATGAAGATCTCGTGGCTGACGATCGCGTAACACACAAACAGAACGATGTACCTCCATTTCTGCTGACGACGATGACCTTCATCAGTAATGCCTACACATGAACATTCCATTTAAACATTCCATGCGGGATCATTCCTTCTCGCCCGCACACAGTTCGTCCACTCAACACTAAAACCGTAACGTCACTGCGCCGCTGCTGTTTCCGTGAGCAAAGCGGAATAATAGTCGTGATTAGAATGCTACGTGAGGGTAATTAGGCATTCTCAGCCAGGATACCACGCTTCCAAACGAAATGTCCTGCACAACATTTCGTTTACACTTCCGCATCCTCAGGCGAGCCACGTTCATGGATAAGCTAATCCTCCGGAGGCCTCTTTGAATCCTCGGGATGCACTGTACAGTATTCGGTTCAACGGCAAAATTAGCGCATACCGGTTCATGCCTTCACGATCCAACCTAAGGATTTTCAGTCGAACGCATATTTTTCGCACCTGAAGATATTCAGTTCCTGCAATGAAGGAGAATAATAAGCAGCTGGAGTTCAACGAAGTCAATCAAGCATTCCGCCCCATTTGAATAATGGTTATCGCATTCAACAGTACAGCTGCTCATGAGCAAGCGAGCTTAGGAACGAAGATACACTCTCCAAAACGGTTTTTCTCTGGTAGTTACAATAAAGATAAAAACATCGATATCTACCAAGCAATCAATCGTAAAATGTATTCCAATACAACGTCTGACAACACTACCATGTAACTTCAATACTGGAATAAGGTGGGTGAACGTATGTATAAGAGCTGGAATCACCCGCAGGAGTAGATTCTCTACGTCTTTTTACCTTCGTCTCCTTACCGAAAGAAAAATTCCTGAGGAAATCGCAACGAATGGCCCACAAAATTACAAGGTAAACCTTCATCCTATAGTGTAAAAAACTATTCGTTTCCTTTATAACTGATGCATGATTAAGAAAACGTCATGATATTGACCTTGCCAAATAATCCGGATTGTTAAATGCTGTTTTTTCTTTCAAAATTCTTGCCACGAATTATTCTAGTTAGCCAATGTTCCGCGGTAATCGCGCCGGGTTCCTGTAAATTGAAGCAAAAGCGACCCTTTTTGGAGGTGACTTGGATCACAATGACTATAGCTTTGCACCACGCGTAGTTACGAGCGTACACCACTTCAGTTCGGAACACTAGCTAGTTAAGCTTCACCGAAATAATCAACAGAGAAACTCTGCAGGAAAAACTTGATTGATGGAGGCCTCGCCGTCAAGTAGTTTCAAGATAAATGTGGTTAACGAACGAGGCAGAGAACATGGAGGCAGCATTGCGGAAGTAATCAACTGTGAACAATATGGTATATTTCAAAACACATCCGAAGCATACATGCAATAATAATTGTACAGTCAAGAGCCATGGAAATAACGAGGTTTTACAGCAGGTACATAGAAAAAATACAAAAAAAAAAGTTTGAACAACTCCACTTGGATCTCTTGACCACCACTCGGCTCGCAGCCAACCGCCACGTTCTCAACGGGCCCCAGGGATGTTTCATCCGGCTTTTTTGAATGGATTGCGTGAACTTGGGATGAATACCATCGCTCTCGGGGAGCGCAAGGACCACGAATGCCAAGAAAAAGGGTCTCGCATCCACACTCAACACGCATAGGGTAGACAGGATCCGTCAATGCTATGGTTTCTTCGAACGGTATTCAAACCCGGGTGCCTTTTCCGCCCGAAGCTCGCAAAAATAAATTGCCGAAAATCTACACAATCCAAATCTCCTCCATAAGAACATCATAATAAAAATACGACACGTTCTCCACCAAAATATAATTTAAAGCAATCGGAACAGAATCCGTCTTTCAACGCGCAAGGGCTTCGATACACATTCACCATGGAATGGTCCACTGGACAATGGAAGCTACCCGCCATGCCTTTGAGGAAATTATAAAAAGCAGCCTCAATTACAGCGTTCGCACGACGCTTTCGGAACTTTTACCCGGTGACAATTAGAATCACGGCATGACCGTATCTGTCGATCTTGATTCCGATCGAGGTGATCAACTCATTTGCAGAAATACCATAGTTCCAATGCGTCCAACAGAAAAGTCGCTGAGGCAACCAGGTACATTCTCAGCCGCGGCCTGAATCCAAAAGCCAGTGGATCATTTCAACGCGTGCGTCAAACCCAAAAAAAATATAAATCCGGCGGAAAGAGAGGGGCGGCAAAATGGGGTGGAGGGGGGGAGCGGGTTTGCCCATCAGTTCGCGCGGCAACTGAACAACCAAGTGGATTAACATCACGTTCTTGGGTGAGCGTAAAGAATCACTAACGCAATTGCAGCGTTGCTCAGGGAAGCAAGCCCCAGTGGGTTTTCATTTCCCAGGCTTGCCTGACATCACCAAACCACCATTCATCACGCTATTCCTAACTCTGTACTGTACTTGTTACGACAGTCATTGAAACAGTACACTGTGCAGGGGATAGACAGGAAGCTTCCTCGTCAGGTTTGCTCTCGGTAATGGGAAGGCCGAGGGACCTCGATATCTCAGCACATACTTGACAGGAGTACTGTGAATGCAAATCACGGATTCTTCCTGATTCAGGCAACTCCAATCGACTAGACGTGAAGAATTAACCCCTTCCTAGGACTTATATCATCCAAGAGCTATCAGTGTCTACATCTACAGGTAATAAATGAAACTGACAACTCATTCCTAAAAGGCATACGATGAAAATCACGGTTAAAAAGTAACTTATCTTCGTAACTAAAGCGAGTCTAAAAGAAGCTCGACGTCAACTATACTCAGCACCCGGACAAATACAGGAACACTGAGTTTTACTTTATGAAATAAAAATTTATTATCAGGGACCACCAAGCATTTTCAAAATTTCTGGATGAACAAGTCTCGAAACATTTATAAAACAAATTAGGAAAAACCGTGAAGGCACGATTTAGCTTTAGACGATTCAAGAAACTGTTTAGCTCGAGGTCTGGCGTTTTGCTTTCATTCCAATCCGATAAATTTCGGACGTCCGCATTTGGTAAAACGATGGTGATCCGACAACGAATAAATATTTATACCGACGAGAAGGGGGAGACACGAGCTGATACATCCAACATCATACACGGAACGGCTTGGTAACATGAACATTGAATCGGGCATAAGAAATGCATCACACCCTTGTACTCACGCGACTTAACGGCGCACGACAAGCGACTTCGGATATCAAGGGACTGAATTAGAAAATAAATATCCAGCTGGGCTAGGCACTTGGCAGCGATGTTTTTTTTTCACGACATAACCGGACGAGTCATGAAGAATGACACCTCAAAAAAAAAAAACACGACGTAAACGGGGAAGAACAATGAAGGTACAGATTTGGTTATATTTTTTAGAAGTGCAGGTGACCCAAATTGAACAGAGAGCAAGGTAAGAGCGCGATAAAGTTTCTGCGTGTTAGGAAAAAAGTTGGCGACTCCATGTGCATCACATTGGCGAATAATGTTTGTGGAGTAAATAAAATTATCATCCCTTTACCAAGAAATCGAACAAAAAGAAAATTATCAAATCATAATACTGTATAGGAATCGATCGAAATCCTAAAAAAATTGGAAGAACATGGATATAAGAATGAAACAAGTTATATTTAAACACATTTGTGAGGAATTCATGAGACAACATCGCGCTCACTATTTTTCGTTTCGCTTCAATGGGGAAGTTCCAAAATTGATGGATCAGACCTCTTTGCTTTTATAGCGACTCAAGTCTCTGAAAAGACGTCAAGAATATTACTTCTCAAACTATCGGTCACACGGTATGAACCAATCAAGCCAAAATTACGCTCGCAATATCCCGACAGCGCATTGAATTGAACGCTGCCTCGTTACGCAATACACTAAGAAGAAACTCAATCATAACTTCAACTTGATGACAGACACGCAAATTTCCACAAAAAATTAAGGAAAAATAACGACAAAACTATTTCCTCTCTTACAAAGCCAAAATAAAAAGCACCGTAAAGCAAAAACCCACGTTCTAGCTTCTACCTTAGTCACCTGAGGAGCACATCCGTCCAGGGGGGAAAGGGAGCGAGGAAGTCGACGCAAAGAAAGCCGAATACTTTTCCGCGAAATCTATTCATCGTTGAACACAAAATAAAGAAAACCCAACAAACGCTTCATGAGACATCGTCGAGATCGATCATCCGTACTATTTCTGTCACTTCGAGCCCTCCTTTGCAGCTCGTCGACGTTTCGGTGTCACTTGAGGAGGCGGCGGCGGTTTTGTTTCACCTTCGAAAATTAAATGTCTAAATTAGGATAAAAGAATGAAAATTTGATCACATAAAAGTTTCGTACAAAAAGCACACTCAATCATCAACATATTACAATAAGATTTTGAAACACCAGTGCAGCAACAGATAATCGAATTTAAAATGTAGAAAATTCTGGCTAACCAGGATTAGGCACAATCGTGATTTCTGCCTTCACCGAGTGGCACAAAGCGGCGAGTAATCAGATAAAACAAAAGGCCACCGACAATAATCAAGTTCAGAAACGCATTTTCCGGCACCAATCTGTTTTAGACGCGTGCCGAAGACACGGATTCCTCAACATTTTTTGGGCCCATTCTAGAAAAAGTAGATTCGCGTCATCTCAGCCGTACACATGATCGTGAATCGATTCGGAGGGAAGTTCGATCAGAATTATTTACAACCGATTTGAACTAACTCCGGGCTGCTGAGGCAGACAAGATTTTTTTTCTCGTGATACCCACGGAGAAGACGGATTTGATCTCCGAAAGCAACTATTGATGGTAGAAATTCAGTGGGAGAGCACTCAGGCGGAAGTCAACTCATCTGAATACAAACTAAGGATGGTCGGAAATTCCACAAGATACGGAGCATCGCTCAGGTTTGAGATGGAATAGTTTCGGAGTTCAAATAATTCTGGCATCTTCAATCAAACTTAATGTTGGGCACGGCTAAAACAAAGCTTCCTCGTCAAACGTAGTCATTGGCAGGCGCGAAGATACAAAGCACGCCGTCTTCTTGACAGAAGGCGGCGTGCTTGACATCTTCTTGACAGAAAATTGCGGTCAAATACACAGGCATCCACGGCAGAACAACTTTCCCAACGGCATGCATTTTTCCAAGAACGATAACTATGGAGATCATTCCACCGTGATTAATTAATCGGGAATAAAAAAGCAGGGAAGGATCAATGATTTCAATGAGGAGTACAACAACCATCTGCAGTACAGCATTACGAAAAAATGTGAAGCACAAATACATGTGTTATTGTACCAACGTTGTTTTTAAACGATGTATCAAAGGTAATTTTTATACCATGCAGCGATGGTCAGAAATGAACTCGAACATCATTGCGACGCAAAGGAAGGGGAGTCACAAAATATGAAGACAGTTTATATACCTCCCGCCCTGAGTCCAAAGCATGTAATCTCGATCATCTTTCTCGGAATGATCAATCAATCACCTGTTGCCTTTGCATTGTATGAACAGGAAGTCATAGAAATAGCAAATTTTCTGCTTCCATGAGTTGAGGTACTGAAGTTTCGGGGACATTTTTTAAAACAATTTGAATACTCCGGGCTACCCAAAAGCTGCTCATGAGGACACGGACCACACGCACCTGATGGGTTGTCAATAAAAGCAATCGCACGGTTAACAACTTGATACAATAGCGGGAACCCAAATTGAAACAATTTCCGACGAGATCCATAAATTTGGGGAAACTCATAACTCTGCCCTGTCTCTTAAGTATAACACCGATGAGCAAACTATACCGGAATTCCGTCCTTTCCGCTTCCGCTTGTTCGCGTTGGAGTCGGTGGCACTATCTACTGGCGGAACCTCGACGATGACTGGGGTAGTATTTGATCCATTACCTCCACAATTTACGTCAGCTATAGATCCCGAGTTCGGCTTCCGATGCTGCGTAGCTGAGTTTCGCACGGGTCTTGCGAGGCGTTTCACTCCTTCCGCAGCATGGTTATTGCGATTGGCAGGCCTGAAATGGAGCAATCACGAGATTAAGCAGATAATCACGTTTGAACAGGCACATACACGAGACGGCGAGAACCGGCTCAAAATAAGTGTCCACACTAACTCGGGCCATGAGTTCACGGAATTCATCATTAAAAAAAATTGCAAGTCATGCTTCTAGCACGACCAATGACACACAGAAAGCATTAAAATAACGTTCGAATTCGATTTGGCAGCATTAGATCCGAATCACGCATCGCCGGACGAAATAAATCTGCGTCAGCACATTACAAAATTTTTACACCCCACACAGTTATGTCGTTACACGAAGAGCAAATTTCAACGTTATCCAAGTACAGTACAGCGTAATGAAACATATCGTCACGATTCCGCAACAGGCTCGGACGCAAACCCATACGTCACATCGACGAAGTAAACCTTTCACACGAATCGCAAATATTGCATGAGAGAATATCGGCTGTAACAAATCAGACGTAGCCCAAATTTCTGTGGGAAACGATAAGAATATCTGATTTTCGAGAAAACATGCTTGCACGAAAAATGTCATTTGTGACTCAAGTATGCTCTTCTAAAAAACGCTTTAGTAAGAAATTGGCGAAACGCGGGAACCCAAATAACTGAACCACAGATTGATCATAGGGGCGAACAATTACACTTCATAGGGCATACTGGAGATGGGTACATAATAATATTGGGGAGAACAGGATTTCCGTGCATAATACTCCACGAATAGGGCCGGAGGACATAACCACTATTTCACTGTATCATAAATGTGCAAAAGTTGAAGCATTTAATCACGAAGACCAAATAGTCGAGCACGCATATAATAAGATACGAAAATTTACATCACGCAACGCAAGCAAAGCGAGATCACGTCAATAATACCTCAATCCGTCATCATCAGGAGTGCGTGGCCTTGAAACGCGTCCACTGCGAGATATAGTCTTGAGAATGGGCTGATTTTTGTCTTCGGTAACCCTTTTGCTCACCCGGTTCCCCATCTTTTGAAGAGACTTCACGTCCATTTCCATGCCTTAAATAAACACTTTAATTAGCAAAATTCCTTTCTTTATTCCAAATTCCTCATTGAGCAAAACCAAGTTAAAGAATTAAAATCGAGGAAATTGACAAACCTGGCTGCTTTTTCTTCACTATGACGGGCTTTTTCGGGGTTTCTTCTTCCTTTACGATTTTTTTCGGGTCTTCAACAATCGGCGAAACGATTGGATTCGTCCCCACACACGGCTTCTTCACATGTTCATCGACGCCCATGCATGCCTTTATCAATTCCGCAGCGTTTTCTGAGCACCTCCTCTTACCCGGGCGGGCCGCCTGATCAGATGAAAGAGCCGTTGGCGATGTCTTAAGCTCCTCTTCTCGTAACGGTGACCAATGCCGACGCCCGGACTTCTTGTCGTCCAAAGACGATGTACTGTTTAAGCTCGCGTTTGAATCTCCCGAAGTGTTTCTTCCTCGTCCTGCCGCTGAAGGACGCTTCCCACGACTAGTGTTCACCTGTGGTTGCTTCGAAGTGGATTTGCTGGAAGACGTGGAACAGGGGGAAGGAGTACACGCATCATCACGAGGACTAGCTCGGGATTGCGGACTGTTCAGGCGGGAAGCAGATCGAGTTGAAGCACGCGTGGCCATGCGTTTCTCCTCGTCTGGTGCACCAATGGAAGTCGGAATCTCGATTGTTAGCTGCTCCAGTGCCGGGGTCCGTTTCTTGACGTGGAATGTGGGAGCCGAATGGCCTTCTTCCCCGCCCACCAGCTCAGCGTCCTTGGAAACGTAATTATGATCCCCTGATACCCGTACACGTGTAAGTTCGCCGTTTTCCGACACCCTATTCTCCACCTCCAGCAAATCGGTCAATACATCGGCAGGCACTTCTCTGACGAGTGAAACGTTCTCTTGCACCGACATTCCTTTCACGAATGCAACTTCATTCATTGAAGGTAGAACGACAACGCTGTTCATTACGGGTTCGTCATCGACAACCTCGGCAGAACGTTTTACAGCTTCGGAAACCGCCGACGAAAAACTAATCGCATCCTTCGGTGAGGCCGCAACAAGAACAAAATCTCCAATTGCAGTCGTCACGGCGTCGGATTCCCTTTTTGGAACAGGAGACAGTAAGATTGATTCCTTGATGGACGTTTCTTTGGGTGGCGGGGGCACCAGGACAATTTCTTTAACCACGGGCGACAATGCCATGGCATGTTTCAGCGGCGAAGTGACAAACGTGACGTCCTTGATGATTGAGGTCTTGTCCGGAGAGGCAACTCTTGCGGCGTCTTTCATCGCAACATTTTTCAAAGGCGAGGTGATGATGGTGATGTCTTTCACGGATGGCGAAAGGATGACAGGTTCTGACGTCAATAAGCCCATGCTGACCTGATCCTTGACAGGCGAGATGTACTCGGATTGTTGAGGCGCGAGTTTCTTGCTCGGTGAGTTTAGATAGGTTCTCGTCACGACGGGAGTGACAAATCTGTCGAAATCTGGAACCAAGACACCCCCGTTCACAGGCAACGGTGTCCGTTCCACAAGAACAGGAGAAGCAGCGGGCTTATCACTTGTCGAAGAGACTTTGCTGGGTTCAGGATTCTTTGTACTAGTTTCATCACATCTCTCCTGGTCTGGAAGATTTAAAGAGCCTGAACTCACCGGCGGGCTCGGGGAACTGGACCCTATAAATTTCCCCGAACTCGGACTAGATTTCGGCGCTTCTTCAGGCTCTGCCACTGGCACCAATCGGACGGGTATCATTTTCGTGCCAGCGGGTAAGTTTAACGGGGAACCCACGGAAATACCTTTCACCGGGTCCCCGGGCACCTTTTGCGCGCTGACATTTTGAAGTGCCAGCTTAGTACAGGCACGCATCGACGCCGCGTCGTAACTGCCTTCTTCCGAAAAATAGCAGCTGGAGGTCGCCACTGGCTCCGTCTGAACACTCGCCATCGACTCAGAACAATGATCCTGGCGTTCAATCTGCCGCTTCGGACTTTCTACTACGTTTTCTCCTTTCTCTGACTGTGTGTCCATAGACTCGATCCCAGAATCGTCGTTCATATGGCACGGACTTCCCAGGATTTCCCGTCCGAGAGCGCGAACAGAAGAAAGACTCACCTGTTCGCTTCTCAGATTCTCACTAGAATGCGGTTCCACGGATGGTTCTAGTCTCGCCGCGGTTTGAGAACCACTGCTGACACACGAAGGTTCATTTCGGACAGGGTCGTTGGAGGGGCACACAATTATCTTCGGGGTGATTTCGTGGGGACGAGGATGGTACTCAGGAGGGCGAGTTGTGGAGGTACTGGCGTCCACGCTGACGAGTCGGACAACTTCTGCTACCCTGTCGCTCTCCCGCGTGATTTGGATTTCTCCTCTAGCTGGTGGCAGCTGCGGAGAAACGCGCTGATCCCACGTAGATGTTTTGCAAAATGCAGACTCCTGCAAAGATATAATCATATTCATAAGATGTAGGTTGGGAATCTCTGGATATCCTCACTGTGCAAGATTTCACGTGCAACTCAAGATGAAGACAATAAGTTGACATTTTTCAAAACCAAACATCGGATAGCGCAGACCCTCGTGCGTCAGAAGGGCGAAAACTTTCGTCCTGAACGCCTAAATATCACATCTGATTCCATGTTGCCAGAGGGAACTGTGGTGATCGTGCGAAAGATGCAAACCGTAAAAATCGAATTACAGTATCTTCAAATACCAACGCAGAGGTACAAAAGATTACTGAAAAGTATAATTTTTCATCAATTTTCTTTCATTGGACCTTTGAGGATTCGTCTCGCGAGGTACAATTCGACTCGCAGTAGCAGTTCGAACGTTGCCACAGTATCGCTTCAACATAAAAATGGACGGGAACCATGATGTAAAAAAGAGAACAGCAGACTCTAAAAATGTTCTCTGAATAAATGCGGACTTCCATATTTGGCGTAGACGGAAGCGTAAACTTTCGACTGACAATTTCTCAAGCTCGATGCACGAGAAGTGCATTTGTAGGTCGACGTGTTCCCCGACAGATATCGTACTGAATCGCATTCACTCTCAACATCGAGCTTTAATCATCATTTGGAAACGAAAAATTATCAATAATGAGGCCAAGGAGGGGAGGGGATTTGTTGAAGAGTGCAAATCATTCACTACGCTTGCTCTTCAGTATGAATATGATGAGTAAGGAAAGCACTTCATCAATTCAAGAGAATCAAGATTATAATAAGGTCACGTTCAATAATATTAGGCATTTCAGTGACCGAGGAGAGCAGGCTTATGACCTCCGGGGGATCGCGGCGAACAGAGCACAACGCGGGATTCTTGGTGATTACAATTTCACCTTTTAGGCGATAAAAACTGACCAGTTCATCCATAAATTCCTCACGAATTCAGAACCGTAATGAATTCAAATTCACCGGCAACAACAGTTTCAACCGATTACAAGAGAGGAATGCGCTCAATCGAATGCGGAAAAACGGGATTCGGAAAAGAAAAACAGAACTGCAGCTTTCCATTGTTTTAAAATATCAAAATACTGTTTACCCGTGCTTTCTCCTATCTTATCTTTACTGCATTCTTTTTCTTATTTCCCGCATGTCTCCATCCAAATCTATTCAATTCAAAGAGCCGCGAAGAAAATTCCGCTCTTCCTCTCACCGCTCAAACCGGTCGAGTCATGCAATAAAAGGCCAAAACCACGCTCGGTAGTAAAAATCATACCAATTTAATTTATTTCTACTGATGGGAATCTTTTGTGCCTCGCAACTATAGCGAAGAGTGGCGCTCCACGGTCTACTGGTGTTGAATAATTTTGTACACCGTCTTATCCGTGCAACGGACCAGCCTACGAATTCTAAAATTCAATCAACAAGCTCGTCCAATGAAAGAAAATCCCTCCATCGGCTGACAGTAAGAATTTCTGAACAGAACGTCAACGCGATTACAGTACGGTACGGGATAATATAAAAATGCAAAATTCACTAGAGTCGCTTGGAAAACAATAGGTAGGGCTAATACGTCGCTCATAAAATCGGTGAGAGGAATGGAATCACTTCTTGAACGCGAACGGACGCCATACTTTCCTGGATGCAGAAGTTCGGGAAGTCATAGATAATTTATTAGACCTCAAGCGTGGTACTCTTGAAGTCACAATCGACCTTCAATTCCCCAGATTGACATCTAGTCATTTTGAATAGAACAAAGATAGCCGTGAACACAATTTTAGAAATGTTTCTGTGTGTCGAATATACTGACAGAACCAACAGATCAAGCTCACTTGAAGAAGGCGAAAACAAAGCGAACCAAATTTACAGATCCTCACGAAAAGAATTTGTACAAAGCCATTGAACCATGCGTAAAACCCAAGAAGCTTTTTTCGACCGCTACCAACGCCCCAGTATATAAATTCGGCAACAGAAATGAACAAATAGCTTTCTCACGAGACATTCGAGAATTTACGAGGCAACGGCGAACCAACATAAGAACAGCTTTCTGTCAACACAACGTAGCTGTGGTTTCCATACATGCTTATGAGCCTGGGCAAGCGAGTTCGAGTCAAGTACGTCACGGTGTCTTGTGTATTTTTTTAAAAATACACAAGACACCGTTCACATGAGACCGTGCACCGATTCATTCAGAACTCGCCGACATAAACTTAATCGGTTAGAACATGGCACGCGCGTCTCACCCGAGATCCTTGGATAACAGCAGGCGGAGGCTTGAGCTGAGGGGGCTCAGCCGCAGCCGAAGCCTTCGTGATGGTAGCAGAACCGACCACATCTTGCATCGCGGCGGCTCTGGCTTCATGAATCATCAAACTTTGGCTGACACGGGGCTGTTCCTGTCGGGAGTTCGATGTCAGAACAGCTTCCGCAGGTTTAGCAGGGGCTTTCTCCAGTGTCGCCGTCTGGCATTGCTTTGGCAACGTGCTGTAGTACGTCGCTGGCGATTCTCCGGATGCCGACATAGTCATTATTGTAGTAACTAAAAAAACGAGATAGGTTCAACTGTGTCAAACTCAGAAGAACCAGTCCACTGACCAAATGAAAAAGTATAGATTTCGGTTCACGTTAAAAAAAAGGCTCCAATAGCAGACAATTCTTTACGCTATTGTGGCGATGACTTCATACGTTCAACAACTTCTAGTCGGAGAACTGCGAGGTTAGAAACAGCTAGAAAACTGTACGTAACGTGTACAAAGCGTACACTGATACGGCAGAAACCGCACGTAACAACATAGACAGCAGAATTATGGCGAGGAAACCTCACAGAAGTCGAACGATGAGTAATATGACACTAGTTGCACAGCACATCTATAGCACATGATTCAGGACAATCGCAAAATGTATTCTGGATAATAAAAGTGACAAATATGTTAAGCTATGACCTGCAATGGTTTATACGGAATGTTCCTTGAAACCTTAAGGGGCAACACATTTTAAGAACACTTCAACATCAACACAATGAAACGGAAGGATCAAATACAGTAGGATTATTCGAAGTCCAACTTCAGCTTGCGGCTCGGATCTAAGATTTAACGCAAATTGAGACACGGTAATCGGATTTCATGCGATTCACGGTTCGGATCATGAAGTGGATAATTTATTTCTCTAGTGCAGTATATCAACTGTTCGCAAACTCAGCATTTGATCTCTGCTCAATCATTTGAAGAAAAGAAACGCTCCAATCTAATTCATCACCTGAATGGAATGAAAAATAAAGAAGGCCTGCAAAACTCTTCCAAGACACAGGGCGCAACCAGATAATTCCACAGAAAAGCATTTAACTGGATTCACGGTAAGCCAGACAGATTTCTTTGGATTCATTTCGGGACGAAGGCAACAGGACCAAAAAAATTAGGATTACGGAACACAACCCATGGAGTAAAGCACAGTTTTGAATTTTTGGTGGACCTCAACGCACTTTCACATCAGCAGAACTGTAGAATGTTTCGTCTTGCACGCGATAACGTTCTAATACAAGCGATGTGTTCGCGGAGTGCTAACAGAAGAAGTACTAAAGGTTTAAGGATACCATACATACAAGGGTAAAATTGAAACGAAGCCTCAAGCAACACCTACCTCACGAATTTGTAGCGGTACGATGACTATCAACTACATGAAGAGTGGAACACAGATATTACAAATATAATACAAATGCCCGGCAGTGAATTGTGACTTCTTGAATGCGTACGCTGGAAGAAATTCCTGAAATAGCTCATAGCATGAAAAACAATGCGGCTTCTAGCAACGAGGTGAGAACACATAATCAATTACTGTTCTGTACATGAAGTCCCTTTCATTAACAGAAACGTTTCACGGCTGTAACCAACAATTTAACCAGTCAATCAGACTTCCAAGTGGATGTCAGGACACTCGATGAATCCTGTGGAAATTCAGTTCAATCAAACCAGATAAATAAGAGTCCGAATAACCTACCAGCATTTGGACCGATGTCCCTCGTATTCACGATCACAGGGCCGTTCGACGATACCACGCTTGAGGACGTCGACGCGGACGACACAGCAAAGATCACATCTGACTGAGAAGCGATGGACGAAGTCGCGGCAGTCGACACCGCGGACAAGAAATCGTAGATCTTCCCAGGCGCAACTTCTAAACGAATGACAGAGCAGTCCGTGGTGCCGCCCCCGTCTGGTCGTTTCGTGCCATAAACGACATGTTGTGGCACTGAAGTCCATACAGTGGACTCCCCCTTGGAGTCTTCCTTCGCAGAGGTGGAAGCATCCACTTGACTCGGCGCCCGAATACCCATCACCTTCAAGCGACCCAGCACAGGATCACTCATCATCACGGCGCGACCAGTCGTCGAACTGCCAATGGGTCGCGGCACTCCACGTCTCACACCAGGCCCGACACCCATCGACCGAAACTCCGTCTTCGCACGCGCGCGGCCAGGACGACCACGGCGAATATCTCCTCGCATTCGGGCTGCCTCGCTGTACGGCATTCTAACATAACCTCCCGATGTTGTCGGATATGCCGAGGAATCCTGCCCGGTAGCGTTGCAAGCGTACACGCGCGAAGGCGTTGGTAGTGAATCAGATTCCTTCCCATGTTCGGATTCTTTGTTACTTTGGTTTCCCGTAGTTATTGTAGCAGTCGTTGTGGCTGCAGTAGCACTCGTCCCTTTCTTCAGAGAGATGTGCAAGGGTGGAACACGAGGTTCTGATTTAGACACGGGCACCGGCGCTGGGCTTGTGCTCGTCGTGACGCTCCGAGTCAATGTAGGCGCCGTTGTCCCAGAGGAGCAGTTCTGCGTGGATACGGACGTGTACGACCCACTCGCAACCATTCCTTGCTTAACGCCGTCGACACCAACCTCCAGCGTTCCAGTAGTTCGCAGGAAACCCGAGTCGACTTTGAACATTTGTCGCGACACGACAGCAGCGTGCCCTCCTCGAGATGATGTTAGTGCCGTTGTTTGTGTAGTCACCGGGGAAGTCGTCACCGCTCCAGTGCGCGACAACTTCATCTTGATCTGTGCTTGCTCTGTCGACGGCGTTGACGAAGGGACGGAGACGGGAACTGAGGCGATCGGAGACGCAGGTGGATTCGCACGGCGCTCACGGCGATAAACCGCTGGACGACGCATTGATTCCCCTCTCCCACGCATCAAAGTAGCACCCGGTCGCCGTCGTGCGCCGCCACGTCCTAAAAAAGGAGTGCTGTACTGGTTACTTCAAGTCAGGTGGTTCGCAGAATGATAAATACTTTAAATGGTATGTTTTAATGTAGAACTCGAAGGTTTAATCAAATCCACGTGTTCTCGCCAACAGAATATTCAGCGACACATACTGTAATTTTTAAGTAACCAACGGGATAAGCCATGAAATCGGGTGAAGTAAATTTGCACCAAAACGATAGTAAAAAATGGAAGACATTTTTAAATTGCCGGGCATATATTATCGGTCAATATCACCAGCGCGAAGAAGTTTGGGTTCCTTCTATTACCATCGAGAGGAATCGTTTAATCTAGATGGATCCGTAAGCAAACATTAATTCGCCTACAAATCGCCCGAACATGGCTAACCAATCGAGCAAAATGGAAAACAAGACAAAGTACAGGTCCTTTATGCAGAACATCATGAATTTAAGAGATGGGGTTCATGAATACACTATCGAGCGCACGATTGGATTAGCATGGCAAGTTCCCGAGGGTTCTTTCATTAAGCAGAAACGGCAGGGGAGTAAAACTAAGCAGAAGAATCGCAAAATTTTAGATCAAGACCACGACATGCTTTCGTAGGAATCTACGTTTCAACGTCAGTCGAATTCCCACTTCCTCCGAAAACGAAAATATTCTGGAAAACATGATCCGTATCTAGACATGGGGACCATAAATTTCTACGACGTACATGAATACGGAGTCGATTCATCCGAATCCAATCGAAGGAGCGGTTCCGATTACTCGAATCTAACGTTAAGCGGTCAAGACGTAAAGAATGCGCAAATGAGTGATAGAAAACAGGAAAATCGTTGATACCGCCACTGCAATAGATAAAATTCCAGATGCCTTCAGAGTTTACTTCGGAAATGCGCTAAATCATTTCAACGGGATTCGGCAGCAACCGGAACCGCTTTGTCACGCTAAACGCACGTGACTTGATACCAGAGCAAAGCGTTCCCGGTGAACGAGTGACTCGTCTGTTACTATGCTGAAGTACTACGGTAGTTCCTCTCAATTTGCATGAAAAGACGTCTGTCCCTCAGTGAACCACAATGGAAAGTTGGAAACATTTCATTTATGAAACCCTCGACTTCGCAGAACTTCATCTCCGAAAAATAAAAATATTGCTCACTCCTCTAACCAACATTTTCCCTCAGGAGCAAGCAATCGTAAAAATAATCATAAAACGATCGCAAGAAACCATCAAGATTGACATGAGCTCAATATATTGTATATGATGACATGCCTTACCAAGATCACGTAGAGCGCTAGAATCCATATCACCCAATCTGAACGCGCCAGTGTTCGCGTTGCTTCCGTTTTCTTCATCCACCATTCTTAGAGAAGCACGGACATCTTCAGGATCGCTCTCCATCCCGTCATCGGAAGACTCAGAGTCCGTGGGCAATGGTTCAAGGAGCCCGGATAGAGGGTTGATGAGATACTGCCGCGGTTTACCGGAAGAAGTTAACCGAGATGGACTCGGTGGACTAGGATCGGACTTTCGGGGTGTTTCGCTTCGGGTTAGCACGGCACCAGAGATCGATTCCGAGGTCTGCGTCACCGCAAACGTCGGCGGAGTGGAAGAAGTCGACGAAGCAGCCGGTAAACCCGGGTACGGCGGTGGAGGCCGGTTCGGCGGGAACTCGCGAACAATAACACCGCTGTTGACCAATGCACCCATGGGCGTCGAGCGAACGTCACATTTCGTCAAGGTGGGACACTTAGATGCTCCATACACATACGAATGACGCACAGCATAGCTGGGGGCAGCCACAGGTTCCACCAGCTTGACATCAACGACTTGCCTTGGACCACTCGAATTTTGCGGCGGGTGAGCCATGCGGACTACCGTACTCCGGATACCAGATGTGTTCTGGCAAGGCGGTCTAGTATCACCAGTCGTATTGGGCCCTCTGATCACGGCTTTCTTCGCAGTCGCGGAATTTATGGTGGCAGGTCCTGGCGCGACGATGTAAGACTTCCCAGGAGACGTTCCTACAATGTACTGATGGCTGGCTGGTGACGGAACGCGAATTGGGATGGCAGCTTTTCGGATTTGTTGCTGCTGCAGCCCAGGGTACCGTATGTCAGTCACACATTGCGGAGCAGACAGACTCTTGACCACCATTCCTTGAATTTCCGGCCGCGGTCTCGGCACCTCTGACCAAGCGGGTGTATTCGCAGCCACAGACTGCGTTCCCATACTCACAGTCCTAGTAATTGGTGGTTTCTCCTTGAATCGTCTAATTCTAGCAGTTTTCTGCACTTTCACCTCGACCGACGGCGGATCGTCTCCGGATGCAGCCATGTTTCCCAAACTAGGCCCTGTATGTTCAGGTGACTGTCAAGAACACAAAAAGAACCCAAGTTGTTTGACGATATCAAGTTGGATAAAGGCAAAGGTTCATTTCAGAGTAATAAAATTTTAAAAAGCCAGAACGTGAAGAAATTGATCATTCCGAAAAATTGTACCTGCAGCAAGTTCACCAGAAGTGGACTGGAAATGGAAGCAGAAGCGCTGCTCGTTGGAAATTCAGTTTTGGACGAGTCCGTACTGGTTCCAACAGAAGTAAGTGGAGCCGGTGATGATGAAGGAACTTTGAGCACTTCAGGAACTAGCCTAGACTCCAGGGTGAACAAACTTGACTGGATCTTGGATCCCGGAATTATTACTCCACCCTGACTCCGGTAGGGAAGTTGGGCTTGATTTTGAGACTGAGCAGGTGATTTGATCGACGTGACTTGGAATGCTTTCGATCCACATAGCTCTTCCGATTTCACCGAGTCTGTTTGTATACCAGCCGAAGGCCCGCGCGCTGAAGAGCTAGAATGCGTTGCATGCTCCATACTTGCGAATGGATAAGAGGTGGAACTCGGTCGCAAGGTGATAGTCGGAGCACATGACGCATTCAAAGAACGAGAGCCAGTCGGAGGGGGTTGAGGCACGGCGAAAGGTACTGATTTTGATGACTGAGGAACAACAACATTTGGACTCCGAAATTCCTCCGTTTTGCAATCTGGCATATTCAGCAAAAGATCAAAGTTTGAAGTCGGAGTCTTCGGTGGTCCCGTAGAACTGGAGGGAATTGAAATAACATGTGATGTGGATGAAGCAGAAGCCGCTGTCATTCCACTGGTCGAAGGAAATTGAGAAAGAATTTGGAAGGTCTCGCGAGAAGACGGGGCTTCATTTTTCTCCTCTTCTGTCAAACCTTCGATCCTCAACAGCTTCTGCTTCTCCGAGGATGCTTCGGTCAGAGTTAGAGAGATCACCTTCACGCAGATCATATCACTATAACCCCTGATTTTCTCCAAAAAACTCAAGATTATTTCGATTGAACTTCTTACTTGATCTCCCTGGACCTGAACCGATAAAATTCCCAGTTCTCGAAGCGCACTTGATCCCTGCTGAGCAAGCCGTCTCAGCTGGATGGCAGCTTCCGGGGGGATCATCATTGTCACTTTCACCGAGTTCCATGGCTCCACTTTTCTAACTTGAAGGCTTTTTCGACCTAAACCAACCAAAAACAATGGAAAATAAGGAACCAATCTATGGGGTTCGAAGCCTCGGATGAATGTCGGGATAACCGATCAAGACTTCACTAACCCGTAGAAATTCCATTTTAATAAAATAATCAACCGGAACCCACCTTTACACAAAATACATTTCAGTTTCCGAACGATGCCCGGGAATCGGTTGACAAAATTAGGATCGTGGATATTCCCCTCGCAAACAACGACAGCTTCTAGAAGGTCGTCCGCATCATCACTTGTCATTTCTGAAGGGCAAAATCATATTTCGATCACATCGAAAGTTTCACAGAGCCACAAACGCCTGCAGAATATTAAAATGATTTTTGCAAGAGATTAAAACAATCAACAGAAGTATCATCACACGACAAGGGCGACAGAGCACTTAGATCACGTTTCGGCGTCTATTCAAATGGAACTGATTCGGGAATGCGCTTTTCCGGTTTTCAATCCACGGAAAGAACTACGGCAAGATTCACAAGTATCCGGCCCATCCGAAAAAAAAGCATCTCACTTCTTCGGATCTCAAAGGATGCACTTTCATGTCTCGCATTGACGAAGCATCGAAGAGGACGAATGACACTCAAAAGCCACGCGGAAACTAAGGGATTATGCACACGGCCCGGGTGCAGCTGACCAGAATAAAGGGCGAATTCCCCACGCTTGTTCCGAAAAAATGAGGAATCACTACGGTGTCACGAATACATCTCAAGATACTCCGCTCAGATCGACATAACTTAATTTTGAGCGACAGTTTCAACGGACTAATCTTTACCTGGACTCGCCTTCACGGAATAATGCTTTGGTCTGAAGTCGAGACCCAAACAAAACAAATCTCCCCGAATACCTGGTGACAGCGGGACACGAAGCGCGTCGCCATTTTGAAGGAATAGCACGGCAGGTATTTCGAAGACGCGCACGTCTGCAAAGCAGTATTGTACTGCGTAAGCCCTGTACAGTATACACTATACTGGGGATGCATCAGAAATTGACGCTGGGGTTTCATTGTTCCATCTTCTGATACCTGCCTCACACAGTACTGTACTCTATGTAGAAGTGAATGAGAATTTCCCCATGGTAATAAGGCTAATACTTCATACGGTTTGCTATTGTTCAGCTATGATTGAATACTGTACACTGAAATTGCATGCAAGCTTCCACTAGGACGCCTTGTCCGTGGAAAACCAGTAATGTGAAAACTAATGCTTCCTTCATAGTACATCTGTGTTTTTCCCACCTGAAATAATTGCTTATTCAATGCACTTGATTCATCTTGAAGTGATGATGATTGAACATTGTTCAAGCATATTGTTCCTTGTATACCACAAGATATACATCCAAATAGAGATCGACATCCGAGGTCATATCTGAAGGAACCAACAAAAATTGGCTCAGAGACCATCAGGTTTAAAGTTAAAGAGGTTTGGAAACTTAAGTGCTGGGTTAATGTTTTGGACCACAGAAAATGCAGTTATACAGAGGTTTTTTTTTGTTTTACGGAGGTATAATACATGTTCTGATGAGTATACTGTATTTATACTCAAGTATACCATGCGCACCTTTTTTCCAGAATTAAAGCCAAAAAAATGGTGTGGGGGTACTATATAGAGGATTAAATTTCCATCTACATTTTTGTAAAACCCTATGCTCCTCCTATGCAAGTACAGCAGATTTAAAAAAATTCAGAAATGCATGGCACCCAGCAGTCTCATTGTTTTTGAGGGAATAATGGTTGAATGGATAGCAATTTAAGAATATTACTTTCAAGCAGGACAATTTTTCTGGAATGATTGAAAATTTTATCTGAGATGCAACAGGAGGTAAAGGATGTGGCAAAGTGTCATCTATAATATTGAGGAAGTTGCCATTAAATGCCAGAATATTTTACTGCTGTTCCAGTAGACAATAAAAAGATGGGAACACAAAAATTAATGCTGAAAATGGAAACCATCAGGATAGGCACAAGATTTCACATCTAGAGATTCTAGACCACTAAAAATCAGTTCACTGCCAGGGTTTGGGATGGAAAGAGGCAAGTATCTACAATTGCATTCTTTCACAGGTAGTGAGAAGTTGAAAGTGGTTTCAGAGGCTAAAAAAAATAGGCAAATGTGCAGCAGGTCAAAAGTGTGATATTGCTGAGTCCTGTTTTTTAGACTGGAGGCAGCAGAAAGAAAAACTTTTATCATGCAACTAAAATCAGCCTGCTTTATTTTGGGGAAAACAGGCAAAATTTCAAGATTTTGAAGTGACACTTGCTGATTACATTAAAGACAGGCATCAACATGGATTTGCTGTGTCAAGGGAAATGATTCAAACAAAAGCCCTCAATTTTGCAACTTGAAATGCCCTTGCCCCAGTTCAAAGCAATTGGGGCATGAATTATGCATTTCATGAAGAGGAACAATGTATCCATCCAACATTGCACCAACATTTCTCAGTGACTTCCAAAATCTTATATGAAGATAAATTACAGGCCTTCCAGAATCTTATGAAAAGAAATTACAGGTCTACCAGAGGCATGTCATTCAGTTGAGGCAGGATAAATCATATCTCATGGGACAAATTGGACATGCAGATCAAACACCAGTTTAGTGTGAGAATCCCTCAAATACCAGTGTGAATGCCATTGAAGATTGAAGTGTGCCAGTGAGAACTGCAGGCAGAGAAACGCAGAGGTGCACTGTAATGTTGAAAATTCCTGCAGATGGCAAAAAACTTCCCCCTTTCATAATTTTCAAAAAGAAGAACTTGCCAAAAAATGGAACATTTCCAAGTGGAGTCATTGTCAGAGCTCAACAGAAGGGTTGGATGGACATTTACCTGGCGATTGATTTTGTTTAATTGTTCCATAGCCTCTAAAAGTATCAGCTCTGCATGGATGATCCATATTTTGCTGGAAGAAATTTGCATATTATTCAGGCTTTATGTGTAGTCAAATAAGGTGAAGTGTGTGTGGGAACATTGCCTAGGAAGTATCTTGAAGAAGCCAAGCATGTTGGTTATGGGCAGTTTTTGTGGCCATTTAACTAATGACGTTAAAACCCAGCAGTCAAAAAAGAGGAATACTGATCAAATGGTGATTCCTGGGGGCATGAATTTTCACTGCTCCAACCTCTGGATGTGTGCATGAATAGGCCCTTCAAGAGTCTCATCTATCCAGAATGTATTCTCAATGGGCTGCAACAAATGTGCATGATAAAAAACCAACTGGGAAAATCAAGTCTCCAACCTTGAAACAAATGTGTGAGTGGATAAAAGCAGCTTGGAAGCTTATTCCTGAAAATCTTGTGGTTAATAGTTTCAAAAAGTGCTGTATATCCAATAATCTGGATGGGAGTGAAGATGATGCTATATGGGAAAGCAGTGATAATATCAGTGGCAGCAAACAATCCATTGGGTCATCTGATGATGATGATCAAGAATGATTTTGATCTGCATGGTAAAACACAAACAACTCCATTGCTAGTTATCACCGTAATACATAACACTTTTTTTTTCATGAGGAGAACTCTTCAGGATTCTGGCCACTTGCAGCAGTGGGAGTACTGAACTTTCAATTGCACAGTGAAATATTGTGTACATTGTGCTGAAAGTATTGAAGAAAGCATCTAAATTAAAATTATTTCTGCTATTTCATTCCATTTTTAGTTATAAAATTATTTTCAAAAATATATTTTAGCAAGCAAAAACTGGGGTGTGCGTTATACTTGGGGATATCATTTTGGGCAAGAAAAATGGGGGTGCGCCTTACTTGAGGGCGCATGGTACTTGAGTAAATACAGTAATATACAGTAATGTGTTATGCAGTTGAGGTTTTCAATACTATACTCATCTGTTAATGTGTATCTATGCCCAAAAAATGGTACATGTGTATGAACAGATAATTTCACTGTTTTGTGCTGACCATTTGAGAATAATGCTCCTCCAAAAAAATTTAAGCAAAAAAAAGCTTCCAAAAATTAATGTAAGGCATTATTAACAAGATAAGTAAAACACTTTTATAAGGAATTGAAGCAAATGTATGCCATGAAAACTACAAAGAAGAACTTAAATTGTCCGTGGAGACATTTTCTGTAGGGTAACTATTGTACTGCATATAGTATATTCTGTACAGGAAAATAATTCTTGGCCTTTGTTGCTGACTGAAATTTCATGGATTGAGCATCATATATATGTGCCGATGAAAACCAAGGAGAGAGGGAAGTTCCTCATATGTATATAATACTGCTGTACAGATAGGAAAGAAGGGCCTGTTTGTTCATCACAATTAAAAACTGTCCAATTATGAAGGAAAAAACTAGAGTATAACTACCCAAGTGGGGAGCTATTTTTGCTGTGACCCCACCATAGGTGCACACCAGGGTCACAACTGGCACAAATGGAATATTCTGGGGTTACAAGTGTGCACTCCTGTATAGAGGAAATTTTGCTACCATTCCAGGGTTACACTTGGTGCACAAATGTGAAATAACAGGAGCATCACACAAATCCACCAACTGTAACCTTGGTGTAACTTATTTGTTTACAAATGTGACCCTGAGTAATCCTGGTGTGAACACACAATTGGTGCACATTGGGGATATGCATGTGCAACAGAAGAACTTTGGTACACTTCAGGTGCACAGCAGGGTCACTGTGTAGAACTACAAACAAATCCTTGGTGTGCACCAATTTCCCCACTTGGGTACTGTACTTACATCCAACTACTTTTTTTTCAAGTGAGCATGAAGGTGTTGTTTCAATTTTGTTTAATTGTTTCATGGCCTCTCAAAAACAGCAGCTCTGCATGGACAATCCATATTTTGCCTGAAGAAATTTGCATATTGTTCAGGCTTTATATTTAGTCAAATAAGGTGCGAATAAGGTAAGTCCGAAAAATAAACATATGCAGCATATGAAATAACTTGAAAAGGTATTTTAAAGTTTCATTTCCCAATTCAAGACCATACTCAATAACTGCTGTGCCATGTAAAAAATGCTGTCTGAAGAAAGCATGCTGCCAAAATAATATACTGTATTCAGGTGGAAAGCCCAAAAGGTACGCTTCCAAACGAAAAGTCTGCTGATGAAATGCATGTCATACTTACATCATGAAGTGCTGTATTCACAATGTAGTTCCATCCATGACGTTTGTGTATTATACACTCATATTGGATGAATCATTTTCTCATTGTGAAACATATACTTTATGATGGTGAGCCCCGAAAGTTGCCTCACTATCAAGTCCTAATTGTAGGGACATA